TATAGAAAAAATAAACTATATACCAACAAATCATTGGAAAAATTAGGAAAGGAGTAGAATATTGTATTCAAGATTGAAACACTCTGAAAACTACAAAACCCTGAATATTCCGGCCCCTTCTTACCTCATCCCGCTTCTGTGTGTGACTCCCTCCAGATCCGGTGGCTTCTTTTAGTCACTTAAACTTATCACACTCTTTCCCACCTCAGGATCCCCACCCAACCACACCCTAATTACCCACAAGTCTGTCTTCAAAGGCTACTTCCTTACACTAGTCTAAGGTTACATCTCATTATATATTCCCTTAGTTCTGCCCCCCCCCCATCCCCTCCTTTTTTCCTTCATAGCATTAACCCAAATTGTAACTAAAACCCCTGGATCTATTTGTTCAATGCCTTGCTCCCTGACTATAGCCTTCAGGAGGGTAAGACTGGTGTCTGTCTTGACCATGGCTGCTCCCCAGTATCTAAGACAAATTGTTCATAAATAAGCAATGAAATAATCCAAGAATGCCTGCAAATGTGTTATTCCCAGAATTGAAAACATGTTTATACATTAAAAGGCAGAACATCTTAAATCACAGTGACAATATTCCCAAATCAAAATATCATTCTCTAGTAGATATGGATTTAGATTAATCCACTAGAGTGACTTCAGGGAATCCTATGTCAATTTACAGCAATGGCATTTTAATCTCATTCTTAGCTTTCCATTTTTGCATGATTTCTACTGATTGCTCTCTCCAGTTACTAGCTAAATAAAAGTGTTATTACTAATTTATGTTAAAACCCTCTAGTTCAGGATTTTTCAGCATCAGAGCTATTGGTATTTGGGATGGGATAATTCTTTCTTGAGGCAGACTCCTCTTTGTCTTGTAGGCTGTTTAGCAGAATCCATGGTCTTTACACTAAATGCCAGTAGTAACTTCCAGTTGTGACAACCAAAAATGTTTCCAGACATCAACAAATGTCCCCTTAAAGAAAAAAGAATCTCTCCTAGTTGAAACTACTGCCCCAATTACTAAAACAAAATAAATATGAGACATAAATAAGATCCTTAAAATAGTTTAGATGTGCTAACTGGTTCTTAAAGTCATACAATTAAAAGATATAAAGCAACAGCACATAAAATAGTCAGTAGAAAACTTGCTTGTACAAATGTAAGCATAATAGCAAGTAAGTGATAATATGAAAAAAAAGACAATCAAATTATAGTCCAGCCTGCATTTCCTAGGAAAAATACATATTTTGATATACTGGGGGTGACAAAAAATGTATACAAATGGACACTGTGGTCAGTGTTGCTCAAGCAGTAGCTCACCATTATCAGAAGTGTCTGGATGCTGATGGTAACCACTCTGAGCACCTCTTGTAATTGCAGAAGTCAAACGTGACTTGTATTCATCTTTTGTTATTGGTATATATTATTATTACAATTTTGATAGTTTTTTTCTTTCTAAAAATGTGTATACATGTTTTTGGCACCCTCTGTATATATAGAACTACAAATAGGTGTTTGAAGATAGAATGTGAGGAGGAAATAATAGCATCTACGCTGCTCTTACCTGGTGTTTAAAGAATGATGTTACTACAAATTTACTGAGAAAGGATATCAATTTATTCTGATCTTGAATTGAGGCATTGTTTCCTTCACTCCATAGAAGCTTCCCTGGACCACTCTAGCTCTCTAGAAATGGTGTCGATCTTCCAAGCTCAAGGCTACAAAAATAACATGAATCTTTCTTGATCATCCTGTTTTGATTCTTGCAGGTTGCTTCCTTTCTGTAAATGTGATTTTTCTTCTTAATAGGATTACGCTAATGCAGTCAGTTGTGAGTGTTTCCCAGACATCTTTGGAGATGGACCACAGGTGAGATGAGACAACTCACAAAGGAAGAATTCCAAGTGGCTGGGGAAAAAGAAGCACAGCATGAATAAATAATCTTATTTCCTAAGATTGGATTGAGGGAAACTATTTCCACTGATCTCCTTTCAGCATCATAATTACATGGGCCTCCTCTTCCAGCATTTCTTAGACTTATTGCCTATCTTTTCACAAAGATATTCTCTATCTGATTTTCTCAAGTATGAAAAAAATGAATTTAAGGTCCCTCTTTAAAACAAGGGTATGCTTGTAGATTTCAGAGCCCCCAAAAGTTTGAAAAGTGTAGAAGTCTCAAAAGCATTCTGGGGCCTGCCGAGTGGCGCATTGGTTAAGAGCTGGCTTGGGACGCCAGCTCTGAGAAGCAGGGCCCCGGTTCGGATCCCACATGGGGGCCAGTGACACTGTCCTCTACAGCTAGGATGGTGAACAACAGCTCGACTTGGAGCTGGGATGCCATGAGTCGCAGGCGGCAGCGTAGGCTGCAGCCCCTGCTGCAGTGGGCTGCCATAAGCTACCGTGTGTGGCTGGCAGCCAGCGTGAGCAGCTGGCAGCTGGTGTGAGTTTCCAAGAGCCGCAGTGAGCAGCCGCCCAGAGGCCGGCGACCTATCTGCCTCACCTGGGAAGAGAGCAGTGATGGTGCCAACATGGGCCAGTGAAGCGACGTGCTCCACAACTAGACTGAAGAACAAATAAATAAATAAATAAATAAATAAAAAGCATTCTGTATTAGGTGACCAGAATGGTGTGCCAAACATGTTCTTACATTAAACTCTCACCTTAAAATGACAAAAGTTAATCAATCAGTAAAAGGATGTACTTACTCCATAAGTGAACATATTTAAACAAACCTCAGGAAACATATGTCCATTTTTCGACATTTGCTAAAATCACTAACTGATGAAATAATCCTTCCTACCTTTTTGTAAATTAAATAAAAGTTTATGATGCCCAGAAATTTAGAAGCAAAAGCACCATATGAGAGCTGGTTCGTTGTAAAATCAGTGGCTCTTGATGAGATGATGTTTGTAGAGGTTTATCTAGGGAAATTAGCTCAAGTGTTAAAATAATACTTTTCTCTGGTTTGAAGAAATCTAATCATTTTTAACAATTATCTGAAGACCTTTGAAATATAATCAATTGGAATAAATGGGTGTGATCTTCAGAGGCTCAATATAAAGAGATTCAGGGAGGCCTTTGAACTTTCTTTGCTCGGCCTGCTCCAAACTCTTTGGAGTATACTTTCTTTTCTAATAATGGCCCTTGAGCCATTCTCTACTGTTTGGACCCGCTTCTGTTTCTTTGAAATGTATTTTTTCTTCTAATAAACTACTTTTTCTGCATCTTTACCTTTCTAGTCCATGTCTCCATTCTTCGGTTCCACGAGACTACGATCCTGGTACACACATACAATCACACATCAAAAAATCCTGTTTCACAATGTTCCCTTGTCCCAATTCCCTAAAACTGCTCCCTTCCCCAACTCCCCAATAAAATTCAAAGAGAGAGAGAAAGAGAGAGAGAGAGAGAGAGAGAGAGAGAGAGAGAGAGAGAGAGAGAGACAGGTATTCAGGGAGCCAAACTCATTCTTCTCCAGAACAAAGATGAGTGTGTTTGGAGCTCATCTGGCTGAAGAGACTTCTGAAAGCTACCACCCTTGGAAGGCTTGATCCCTGAGCTGACTTCTTTGTGTTATTACTTCTACAGCAAGCACTGGAGAGATCTTGGATATATGCTTCCTAGGTAAATACAGAATTGAACACAAAGGAGTTCCTGTAACTTTCCTAAAGGAAAACAAAAACATTTCCTAATTTTAATTTATCCGCGAACTGAGGCTGTTCCTATGAAATGACATTGTTTGCCAACTTAGTGAAAATAGTTCCATTCTTGTTTTGGCGTCCTATGGGCATGTGTGTTGGAATCAATATAATGATTAATTTTAGTTCTTTAATTTTATGTATCCCATAGTTGTTCCTATGTATTATAAGAACTCACAAGGCAGTGTCCAGATATCTTGCATTTTTGTATTTGGTGTAGATTTAAAAACATTTTTCAAGGAATATTTCATCCTATATACATTAGAGTCTATTTTAACAGTGGTACATACCTGTACACACAAGAGAGGTCACAGTCTATAATATATAACTAGGTAACACATCAGTGATTTGAGGAAAATATTGTTTTAAAGTGAAGAAAATGTCTCTTAAGAAAACAAGATTTCTGACTTAAATTTTAAAGAAGCTAGGAAATGATTGGGCCAGCAGAAATGTGACAATGGTGAGCATACAGAAATATAAGAAGTTAGAAAGACTGCTGTATATTTAACTAGTATGGACATAAGGACCCAACTTTTAGCAAATTACGCTGTAAAATGCATGATTTCTTTTTTTGGTGCTGATTTTTATTATTGTATCCAAGTTACATCTTATCACAATATGAAGGGGGTGTTTGATAATCATTTATAAGACTTGGAAGATGCAGCCATTTTCTTTCATTTTTAGTGTCTTTGATTAGAGTGGTATAGATAGTACAGAGAGGGTGACAAATTCAACAGATCAGTGTATTGATTTCAGTGGATTCTAGATAGAATCTGATCCAATTTGACAATGTTTAGTTTCCTCTTCATTTATTCTTAAAGTATTCACAATGTTTTGTAAAAAAAATGTTTTGGGATGTGGATTCTGATTGAGGTGAAAAAGGACACCCAGAGGAAAATCCCTAACAGTTACATGAAATAAGGAAAATTGAAGCTTTTCAAATATCCTTTGCTAAATCAATGACTAGCACTGAGTCTTATGGATTTCCAGAGCATGCAATACCCACTTCCTAGAGCTATAATTGTATTAAACTCCTGAAACTCAAGCTATGTTGTAGGAGACCGTAAGACCTCTACAAAAAGAGGGTGGGGAAAGAGGTGGATAGTGTTGGTTCAAAGCCCAGTTCTCTACAGATCTTGAAGACTCTCCTTGGTCTATGTTTTCCATTTGTGTCACGTGAACAATCAAGCCTATTCTGCTCCAGACACAATGTTATTGAATCACAACCTGAATCAAATTTTACTTAGACCTTTGTGTATCCAGGGCAGAGGAATAAATGCCTGATTTTCTTCCCTCAGGAAAATGAACTCAGACATCTCACAAGACTTTCATAAAGAATTCACCTGTCTTATCTGCCTGAATTACCTGATAGACCCAGTCACTGTGAGCTGTGGGCACAGCTTCTGTTTGTCGTGTCTCTGTGTTTCCTGGGAGAAAGCAGAGAGCACTAATTGCCCTCTGTGCAGGGAACCAGCACAGAAGACAAACTTCAAAACCAATATTCTCCTGAAAAATCTGGTGTCCATTGCCAGAAAAGGCAGTCTCCAGGAATTCCTGAGCTCTGCGGAACATATGTGTGGTTTACACAAGGAGCCAAAGCAGGTCTTCTGTGAAGACGACAGTAGCCTGCTCTGCATGCTCTGCTCTAGCTCTCAGGAGCACGAGGCTCACAGACACTGCACCATTGAAGAGGCTGCTGAGGAATCCCGGGTAGGTGATGCCTCTGAGAGCACTTTGAAAGCTGGGGAAGAGTACAGCAAAGAGATGATGATGAAATCCTCTCTTTACTGAGTGTTAAGTACCAATCTAAGTATCAGTGATGAAGCTGTGAGGAAAATGCATTGTTATACCTGCTTTCATGGAGCTTGCATCCAATGGGAGGGTGATTAAGTTAATGGTCATTATTATTCTGATGATAAAGCATCATGCTCAAGGCACCATAAAACCCTCCTTTAGAGAAAGAGTCTCTGGTATAAAAACTACAAATGCCAAAAAATTTTCTATGGGGTACATACTGGACAAAGAAGTAGGATAAAGTACATTGGAATTAGCATGGGACAAGTATCACTCATTCCAAATTCTAATGAAAGATTCCTCATTATCTTAGAAGTAGCCATGCTGTGTAAAATTCTGATCAGTTTCCTTAGAAAAATGAATATGTTGCATTGTGTGGTTCCACAGGCTGAAATCTCCTAAAACTGATCATTAGTAAAGACAAACAGGGAAACATGATGAATCTTACACACTACCTAAAGTACTTTTTTAAAATATCCATCATTTGAGGTCTGAAACCTAAACCTATTTGCTTCTCTGGTGCTAAAATTCACAGTTCTCTTACAGGTGAAGCTCTCAAACCAAATGAGATCCTTATGGGGAAACATTCAAGAAATCCAAAGAAATCTCAATAAAGATGGTGAAATATCTATCTCTTGGATGGTAAGTATAAGACAGTAATTCCTTCTGAATTAGTTTACACAGACATGCCAGAAAAATGAATTGTGGCCAGCAATTTAAGAAATGTGCCTGTAATGGTAAAAACTGATGCTGTGGGTGCTAGAGAGTAACATTAGTTTAAGTAGGAGAAAATGTAACATGTTAAAAAAGAAAACTGAGGAAAATAAGAAAAAAAGACAGATTGGAGAGAGAGTGAATCCATAATTATTGGGAGAGAATATGCAATAGAATGAAGATTAATGTCCTTCAAAACAATATGGGAAGGGCCGGCTGAATGGCTCAGTTGGTTAAGAGCTTGCCCAAGAGTGCGAGCTCTGAGCAACAAGGTCACCAGTTCGATTGCCACATGGGCCAGTGACGCTGCGCCCAAGCTGAGCTGCCACTGAGCAGGATGGCTCAGCTGGTGAGAGCACGTGCTCCTAACACCAAGGCTGCTGGTTTGACTGGTGGGCTATGCCCACTGGCAACTAAAGACTGAACTCAGCACCTTGATCTGAGCTGCAGCCCAGGTGGCTCAGGAGATAGAGCACACACTCTTAACAGCAAGGCTGCCAGTTCAATTCCCACATAGGATGGTGGCTATGCCCACCCGCAACTTGAACACAGCACCTTGAGCTGAGTGGCATGACTGGACCTGGAGCTGAGCTTGCTGTGCCCTCCACAACTAAGATTGTTCAGTGTCAATTTGTTTAGTTAACTAGAATGTCACTTTATCTTGGTAAAGTGATCACAGTTTATTTGATCTAAGGTATAATTTTTCCCCCCTGAGAAGGGGTGGTGGAGGTAAATTATATTGCTATGGACTGGGAGGCACTGCACAGGTGTCCAGCTTTTCAGGTGTCAAGAAAATAACCAGCCACATGTAGACATGACGTCCCTCTCCTTTATGATTTCTGAATATTTAGGAAGTGTCTTCCATTGTAATTAGGTATTTGTTCAGGAGACATGCTGGCATCATTTGAATTCCATATTTTTTAGTCAGAACTGCCCTTCTAATTTTGGAATTTTTTTTCCCAGTGAAACACTAAGGAGACCCTTTCTCTCATATACAATTTAATTTTTAACATTGATTTTGACTGGAATATTTTCTTCTCTCCACAGTGGAAATTCTCTACACTAATGAAATTACCAATCACAATATCAGGCTGTTTGATGATATGAGAGGTTTGAGGTTTATGGGTGACAGTCTACTATATGCATCTCTGGATCCTGGACCATCTAACTATTATGCTGCATGGGGAGCCCAGGTCTTCACCTCTGGCAAACATTATTGGGAGCTGCATGTGGACGACTCTTGGGACTGGGCTGTAGGGGTCTGTAAGGAGTCCCATCTAAGGAAGAATGGCACTCTGATTGGGTCTCAGGACACACTCCTTCTTTTATGTGTGAAGGAGGATAACGGTTACACTCTGTGGACCACTGCCCCAATGACTCGTCAGTTCATAGAGAAACCTCTGGGCAGGGTTGGTGTGTTTCTTGATGCTGACAGGGGAAGTTTGAGTTTTGTGGATGTTGCGAAGTGTTCTCTCATAGAGCATTCCTGCATTAAGCCTTCCCCTCTTTAGAGGTATCTAGATGATATATTGAATTTCCCTTTCAGGCCATTCATTTCCACTGGCCAGACATGATTAGAGCTGAGTTAGGAACCTGACTTTCTGCCTGGGATCTCCATATCTGAGGGAGCCTCCTCAGTTGAAGCAAATCAATGATAACTTATTGTCTTTTATGCTTCTACTTTAATGTAATCTCCTTTTCTTATTCAATATGATGATAGTGTGAAATACAAAATTTTGTTGGTTCCATTTTCTTGACATTAAAATCATAATCATATGTTGTGGCTCATTATCTAAAATATATGCTGTGGTTGCTTACCTGTTTTGCGGGCTTGCTGAAGTCACCAAAATAGATATGACTGCAATTCCTGTTTCATGGTCTGAATGCAGGAACACACGGTTTGCTAATCATGGACAGACCTGGTTATCTATCATGACCATGTCAGTCTGCAACTTTCTTCTCCCTCCTCTTGGTAGTCTATAGTGCAAGTCAACTCACCCTCAGGGGAAAAAAAAAACGAAGTGACAAGGAAGTTTCCACTGACCTAGGCTAGACCTGTTTTAGAGAACACAGAATAGCTGGTCCTTTTCTTTTACTATAGAATAAATGACAAGAGATAAAGAGAGGAAGTGTCTCTAGCTTTCACTGTGTTCTCAGCAGCTCACACATTAGCTAGGATACCAGGTACACTAAACAAATCTTTGAAGGAATAAATTAATAAATGGATGAGACAATTACCTTACTTGAAAGGCATTTGCTATAAAAGTTAGGACATAAATTCAAAAGTTTAAATTTTCAGGATTTGAAGGCTGGTGTGAAAAAGTGATTGAATTACACAAGCTGAGTTTAAACCCCACTGATTTTTCACCAGTGTGAGAAAATGGTATCTTTTAGTGGGAGGCAGAAAGTATATAGTCTCTATTAACATAGAGACTAGGTGTGTGTGTGTGTGTGTGTGTGTGTGTGTGTGTGTGTTTACAATCATGGCTGTCTTACATTGTTAATTAAAGATCATTGCCCAGGATCTGAGCAAGGAGATGGAAGGACAGATAAACAACATGCAGACATAAACTCCCTACTGTCTGTCCCCATTTCACCATCATACAGTATTGCCTTGGTTTTTGTTTTAATTGTTCTTGCCTCACACTGAATTGTAAATTCACCATTGTATTTCCTCCAAATATATTTCCTGAATATATTGTTAAAATTAATGCTGATTAATTAAATCAAGATGGTTTCTTAAACTAGAAAATGAGACTCAAGCTTAGCAGACATTGTGATCTACCATACATAGGAATGAGTGTTGGCTGTATGTCCTGTAAGGAAGAGGTCACTTTGTCAGTGTCTTCATTTGTCAATACTAGTAATAAGAATTTACATTTATGGAGAATTTACCATGTGGGTTTCTTATAAATGTGTTCTACTTACATAGAAAACCTTAATCCATTATTTCTGATGAACAAACGGAGCCATGATTAATTCAGTGATTTGAATTAAGTCTCCAGTGTCTGTGTGCTTCCCTTTGTTATGTGCTGCCTCTCAAAAATACACGGCTCTAAGGTGAAATGATGTAAGAAATGGACCAACCTCCCGATGACTGTTGGTGAGAGTCAGATTACCTAATGCAAGGAATGAGTATTCTAGGACCTGACACAGAGTAAATCCTAAAAAAAAAAGTGTACTGCCAATATTAAAAAATATATATTATTCCATGTCCCTTGGGAAGGTCTGAGACAAGGGCCAACAGGGGCCCTAGCAGGGCCCTCCCTGAGGCTCGGGGAGGTGAGTTCCCAGAGAACGGGCTCCACACGAGGGCAGACTGGGAAGGAGATGCTGTGGATCCCACCCTTGGGCAGGGCCTTGGTGGATGCGTCCTCAGCCAGAGCTTGGAAAAGACTCACGACCAGCTGAGGTGAGGTACCCCGCCCGGGGACCTCATAAACCAATTCAGACTACTCTACCCCATCCTAAAATTATATATATATATATATATATATATATATATATATATATATATATATATATATATATTTAATATTAGTGCAGAAATGATCATATCAACTTTGGTTTTCTAGGCATTTCCCTCACTCCAATGGCTTATCTAGACTTTCCGTCTGTCAGCAACTACCCCAAATCATCTCCTTTCTTATTCTCAGTAGATGGTTAGTAGAACTCAATAAAATGAAGTCCATGTAGTCCCTTACATTCATGCTCAGACGCCTTTATTCCAAACCATATCAGTAACCATCATCACTGCCTTTCGATTATTGGCAAAATAATAATAATAATAATAATAATAATAATAATAATAATAAATAAGCAACAAAGTTAATTTATATTTTTCATAGAGTAAACATTTATGAAATGCCTTTATTGTGCTTGGAATTAATTGTTATGCCCTAGATATATACAGTCCCTGTTATTCCCTTTCTCACATAAGATTTTAAGAGACAGACATTAAACAGATAATTACAGTACTAAAGTTTTGTGGCATTAGTAAATTAACTACTTGATTTACAAAGAAGAGGGGAAGAAAAGGGGTTAATCATATTAATTGGGTTTAGAATTAATGTATTTCAATGAAACTGAATATCTACATAACTGACTGATGCTTGTTATTTACCTGTCTAATAGAGACCAAAACAGATGGAATTTCATCTCTGGTTATTAGGGCCTATCACTATGATTTCTCATATTTCAATTTATGCACTGTCTACTATATTTACTTGAGTAAATCAGATCTTTCTGGGTTTTTAAAAAATTGTTTTGGAGCTATTCATAAAGACATCAAACTCAAATACCAAATAGTGAAATTTTCAAATAATTTAAATTCAATTTATAGCCAATCCAAAATATATTCAAATGCCAAAATAAGTTCCAGGTGAAATATACAGTTAAATGTGAAGAATATAACAATAAAATCAGAAGAAAACGAAGGTGTGGTCTAACAAGTTTAGATGAATTAGGACCTACTAAACCTAAAAATTGGGGAAATCACAAGGTAAATGATCTATAAACAAAAGAAAACAGGGAAAAGTATTTGCAATGGATATAACAAAATGTTATCATAACTAACTTAAAGGCTCTTTTAAATCAATAAGTTTAATATTAATAATTAATCTCCACCTTCCTCCTCTAGGTGTGTGTGTGTGCGTGTGTGTGTGTGTGTGTGTGTGTGTGTGTGTGTGTGTGTGTGTTCAGGTTAGGAGAAAAAGAAAATAAAAGGAGTGAGGATGATAAGGACATAAAAACAAGCCACAAGTAAGTATAGAATGAAAATGCATACTGTTAAGACTGTTATCCTTAACTTAATGTTCAGCCACAACCTTAAGATAGAAATAAATGTGTTACTCAAGAGAAGGAAAAAAAAAACAATAGGGCAATTTGATGGCAGGCTTAGATGGGCAAGTGAAGGGGATTATTGAAAAAGAATAAATTAGGAGATTGTGAGAAGCATGTAATAGAAAGAATTAATCTCTATAATGTGTTGACCTAGAGTCGAAAGGGCCACTATACTAAGTAGACACCTCTCAGTCTGATACATTTCATCAAAAGTGTTTTGGGTGGCTGAGTGGCTCAGTTGGTTAAGAGCTCGCTCAAGAGTATGAGATCTGAGCAACAGGGTCGCCAGTTCGATTCCCGGCCTGAGCTGAGCTGTCAACAGGTGGAAGGATGGCTCAGCTAAAAAAAAGTGTTTTGATTCTTACTTGTTTTTCATAGTTATGTCAGGTTTAGACAATACTTCAGAGAAGTTCATTAGCCCACTATAAATTTTTTATCTATGAATTCATTGTAATCTGTAATTTGGAAATTTTTCGAAATCACTACAACTAATTTGTGCTTCAGAATATTGATCTAATGATCCACAACATTTTTAGTTTTATACCTATAACTCAGTCCCCATAAATGGTGCTGCTATTGAGTAGTAAATTTATCTTCAAAGTAATTCAAACCCTGTTTTGTGAAATGTCTTTAACTTCAAAAAGTTCACAAACAGAAAAAGCAGTTACTCATAGTAAAATATATACATAACAAGTGCTTATAAACCACTTTGACCTAAAAGACAATTTTCTGACAACTCAGTTTTTTGCTTATATCAGAAAATATTTATTTTTAATTGCCTTATAAGAAAAATGTTCTCTACTTAAAAAAAATTCATAATCAGCATAATGGATTCAGGTGGAGCATAGAGGGTTTTTAGGGCAGTAAAACTACTCTGTATGATACTATTATGGTGAATGAAATTTATATTTCATTATAAATTGTCCAAACTCATAGACACCAAGTGTGAACCCTAAGGTAAACTATGGGTTTACCTGTGGGACTCTGTGTCACTGTAGGTTCATCAATTGTAACAAATATACCACTCTGATGGGGAATGGTGATAATGTGGGAGGCTATGCATGTGTGGAGGCAGGAGGTATATGGGGAATCTCTGTACCTTCCCCTCAATTTTGCTGAATCTAAAACTGCTCTAAAAAAATAAAGTCTATTTTCGTATGAAAAGATGCTCAAGAAATCATCAGAAATGCAAATTAAAACCAAATTGGATACAACCTCACCCCTGTCAGAATGGTTATCATCAATAAATTAAAAAATCAAAAATGTTGATGAGGATGTGGAGAAAAGGTAACCCTCATGCACTGTTGGTGGGACTACAAATCGGTACAGCCTCTATGGAAAACAGTTTGGAGGTTCCTCAAAAAATTAAAACTAGATCTACCTTATGACTCAGCAATGCCACTTCTGGGTATTTATCCAAAGAAATCCAAAACAGTGATTTGAAAAGATATATGCACCCCTATTTCACTGCCAAGATATGGAAGCAACTGAAATGCCCTCACTAGACAATTGGATAAAGAAGATGTGATACACATATATACAATGGGATATTACTCAGCCATAAAAACAAAAATGAAATCTTATCATTTGTGACAACATGGATGGGCCTAGAGGATATTACGCTAAGTGAAATAAGTCAGAGAGGGGCAAATATCATATTATCTCATGT